TGTTCACTGTGGGATCAGAATCATCCAGCAGAAAGTTCTCATTAACATCAGCGAGAATTCAGTGTGTGGTTGGAAGAGTGCACAGAACTAGCATTTATGTTCATCAGGTATGGAATGAGCAGCTCAAATTAGTGTTTAAGGTTCTGTTGTATATAAGCACGCACATCATTAGCAAACGGAGAGAAAGACTGAAAATGGATGATGTTTAGGTCAAATCAATTGCAAAACAGGTTTTCATGTTTAACCTTTAACCATCAGCAATTCTTTCAAGTCCCTTCCAGGCTTGATTCTGCATCTGTGGGAATCAGTGGCGAGACAGTTTAGTGACTTGAATGCCACAGAACTGGGTCAGCCACGCTGTTCTTCTTGCAGGAAGGGATTAGGAGTACCTTGTGGCCAAAACGCGAATGTCTGATGTATTCAGTTCTCTTCTCCTATTGTAAGAATTTGATGAAGGAATAACCAAGGTGAAACCAAAGAAAAAAAAGAAAAAAAAAAGTAATGTGAGAAAAGGGTTCAGGGATTCTACTCATTTCCAAAGGTTCATTTATAATAGAGATTTCTATACAAAAAAAGCTCTACTGGAAATACTGGTGTTCTTCTGACCTAGCACTTCATTGCCAATGCAATATTTATAATTAATTTATTGAATACATACATCTGTTTATTTTGTTACTGTTATTTATGCTCAAAATTATATTTATATACTCTTGAAGGTGGGTTTTTTAGTTGTAACAAATTTTGTGAAGTTTTGTAATCATGAAATTTTAGCAAACAGTAGCTTTTTAAATTTCTGTGCGTTATCAATAGTGTAATGTGTACATTTGCAATTAAAAAAAAATCATATTCAACACAGAAATCTAGCTGACTCTTTTGTCAGTCCTTTAGTCTAGAGACTTCACAGAGCTTTAGCAAGCTGTGGCATTTTGCTCTGCCGCAGCCGCGTGAAGGCGGAATCCCTCGTGAAGGTGGCGTAGTTGAGGTACAACAGGCAAGGACATGGAGAGTCAAAGGGGTTTTCCCAAAGCTAGGCAGTGAACTCTGAGGCTGGAATTCGAGTCTGTCTGCAGCTGGTTACCGATGAGCTTCATGTGAAACAGCATGTCTAAGAAAAGTGTCTCCGTTACGGAAGTGTTTTGGAAACAGCTCATTAAATTTTGACCTTGGGCTATGTGAAGGTCGCTCCACCTAGTCCTAAGTTGTTTTTCTCTTAATACAACAAATAAGTGAAGCTCAGTTTTAATCTGTGTGAGTGTGTCCTGATGCTTTCCTCCCATTCCTCATCATTCAGTCATAGAATAGAGTCATGGAATTGTTTAGGTTGGAAAGACCTTTAAGATCAAGCCCAACCATAAACCTAGCACTGCCATTCCACCGCTAAACCATGTCCCTAAGCACCTCGTCTGCCCAGCTTTTAAATACCTCCAGGGATGGAGACTCAACCACTTTGCTGGGCAGCCCATTCCAATGCTTGACAACCCTTTTGGTGAAGAAATTTTTCCTAATATCCAATCTAAACCTCCCCTGGTGCAACTTGAGGACATTTCCTCTCATCTTATCGCTTGTTCTTTGGGAAAAGAGACTGACCCCCCACCTGTCTACAACCTCTTTTTAAGTAGTTGTTAGACCTGGGCTGGCAAGTGCTGCCTGTAGACATCACCGGGTATACTTCATCTGCAATAAAGCAGTTGTGGATTTGCATCCATTCTATAAAACATCCCATTCATATTCCTTTTATGTCATTAAACCCTGCTGTTCACGCTGCTTGCAGCCTTTGAGGTGCCGGATACCAAAAGGAGTGCTAACCCCCAGTTGCTCGGAGGATGTGATTCCTCAAGGACATAGAAAAATTCCCGATCAGGTGTGGTTTCTCTGATTCTTCTTTGGCTATGCAAAATCCACCTACAAAATGCAAAAAAATCCCGTGGGTGGAAGGCTGCTCCCTTTTAAAAATGGGAGCCATGCTCAGCAGTGCAGCCAGGGAGAAAACTGGTTATTTTTGCCTGAAAAAGATGTAGATTTCTGGCAGGAAAAGAGCCCAAACGTTTCCGTTTGGAAATGCTGTGAGTCACAGGAATTGCAGATTTCTTGGCTGGCAAACAACTCCCATGTTTTTTCCCATACTCCTTTGTGCTGAGCCACTGCCACACATCAGGAGGGTTCCCGCTCCTCCTCTGCTGGGAGATGTAGTCCTGATTTTCAAGTAGGTTTAGTCCAAAAATTTTCAGGCTTGGGGCATTCTGTTTTTCTGTTTTTCATTTCCAGTTTTGATCAGACACTGTATTTTCTTTGGACGTTAGATACTTTTCAAGACCTTTTTGTAAAAAATAAAAAAAACAGAAAACAAAAGAAAATACGTATGAACTTTTAAAAGTTTGGTCAAAAAGATCCACTTCTAATTTTCTGCTAAAAAAAAAACCAACATGGTTTTGATGGGAAACATAGCAAAGAACTGAGTTCAGAGGGTACACTGTTTAATTTGACCAGTGAGATTTTTTAAGTAGACGTAACATATTGCTCGTGAATATTGCTCAAGAGCACAAAGATGAGCAACCGTACATTTGTGAACAGCATTTTGAGCTCTCTAGTGACCCTATTTGCTGACACCTTTGGATTTGCATCTTCCACCAGGAGCACAATGTTTCTTACTGCAACAGCATGGTTAGAGGTTGGTTCAGTATTTATTCAGACAGAGGGAAGAATGCCAGGAGCTAAATTACCCACACCGCTTCCTGGAGCACTTTAGTTTTCCTTGGAGGTTTCCCATCCAAGCTCTGACCAGACCTGGCTGTTTTGCTTATAAAATCTGACAAGATCACAGCTTGAGGTGGAAGGAAAACTCCCTCCCATCAGACCCCTGACTCGGTCAGGAACTTGGTGTGCAAAACCTCGGAACACCATTGCCTTTGGTTCTGTGGGAATGTAAACACCACCGCCGCAGTTCACCATATACCTCCCGGTTGATCATGGTTTCTCAAAGACAGTAGGACAATTGCAGTGCTTTCATTTGCAGTAGCACATTTTACAGCCTTAAAAGGTTTTTAAAGGTCAGGTGTCAAATGTCTCCTTGTGAAGTCTCAGTTAGAAGCTATGATGTGCAAATACAAGTTGTTAGAGTAGTGGGAAGGCTGTAGGAAAGGAGATACTGGGCATCTCCATTTCCACTTTGGGGAAGTGTAAAAAGCTATAAATCTTTCATTCAAGAGCCATAATATCACCTTCACCTCTGCTCGAAGCACTGAAACTATGTTTGTGGAAAATTTGGGACCACTCTTTCTACTCTGCCAGTGTACCTTGTGTATGAATGGAGAACGACACAATAAAGTAAGTAAGTGTACTTTCTTCTCTCAAGAATGTGTGGGAGCCAACCCTCCTTCCTGGCAGCTTCAAATGCGATGAAAGCAGAGGTGCATTTCCCTTGGAAGCGAATGGGAGTGCAAAAAAGACATCATTCACACTCTGAATTTGGGGTGAATTTTTGCAGATTTAGGCACACAGCAAGTTCATCAGGAACCCTGTTGGATGAGACTGGTGGTTGAAGGTAGGTGAGAATGGCCCAGAATGAGACCAGTGTTTTGTAGTCTACTTGCCAGGGCATTATTTTATTTTCAGCATTTTTCATCAATCCCGCTACCTACTGAGATCAAATAACTTGTTTTTCATTAACCTCCAAAGCAAGATTTAAACTGTAGCTGTTAGCTTAGCGGAAACCTTCAAAGACACCTTATATTTCCACCGGCATCAGAGAACAATACATGTTCGCTTGTGATCGCGTGGCTGTAGGGCAGGTAGGTATTCGCACCTGGCAAACCTTCAGTGATTTCATGTCAGGTCCAGTGATATCTACAATGTAAATGAATGCAGAAAGCGAGCTGGCCGACTGACTACAGTCGCTCTATTTAAATCAGTACAGCCTGCCACGACGGAGCATTTTTAATGAACTGTGATTGCTGCATCTGGTTAGCTAAACCTTTAGTAGCATGACTTTATTTTCACTCTAATGTAGTTTTATTTTTTCTTTAGACCCGTCTCTGGATTTTAAAGTCATCTTTTCGAGCCCTGTGCCCTCCTGTGTTTGATTTGGAGGATAGCAGGCCTGCTGTACCCGTTTGGATTGGCAAACTACTTTGGTGTGCCCGTGGCCACATTTTCATTAACTGTCTGGAAAGCGACAGTGTAAGTTACCATTAAAACATATGTTTGTAAATAAGTGTAAGTGCTTCCTTTTCCCGGTGTTGGTCTATAATAACAAATAAATGTTGCAACAAAGCAGTCTAGAATGGCCCGCTGAAGTTTGGGTTGGGTATTAAGATCATAAATATTTACATTTTGGGTATATACATCAGAAATACCCTACTTGAAAACCCCAAACGCCTCGGGTCAGTGCAAAACCAGCGTTGCTGGAGCCCAGGACCCGCTCCTCGTGCCCTGACGGCGCGTGGCCCAGCCACCGGGCTGACTGCCGAGCGGGCGCGAGTTAGCCCGTCCCGAAAATGAGGTCAAGAAATCAGAGAAAAGAATTTGCCGTCAATAATTTATTCCCCGCCCCCCC